CTTGAGATCACAGGTGGTTCCCGCGTGCACCCCAGTTAAGAATCCTCCACTAGAAACCTGTTATCTTCCCCCGAAATGCATCTTTGATAAACAGGAGATGATTCACTGCACTGAGATGCAAAATTGAGTGAGGTGGACTGGCTTGCTAACTAACCAAATGAGCTGCTTTTGCACACGTGCACTTCATGCCTCCAGTGATCTGACTCCCCTATGTTCACTTTGAGTATCATTGTCGAAAACAGTTCCCGAGCTTCAGCTGTGTGTACCACGGGGTTAGGTGCTGGGGATAGTGTAAAGGTGCTGCAACTTACTCCTACCCTGAGCCTTGTACAGCACAGAAGGGTGGGGTCGGTGAGGCGAGGGCTGAAGCCCAGACATTCTGCATGGAGTCATATGGAACCGTGGTGGTACTTGTTAACTTCTACAATTTCATTTGATTAAATTGACTACATCATCAGCCTTTCTCGGGTCGTTTTGGCATCCTTCTGCTTGGTCTTGTAGAGGATTTCCTTTGACGCTACTATCTCCAGATTAAACTTGACAGATCTCAAAAAGCAAAACAGCAACTCAGGAGAAGCGTTCTATAATTTGCTGAAGTATTTCTATGGAAGCTCATCAGAGAGTTTTGAAATTCGGCTCTTACTTTAACAAAAGCCCCAAATCCACCCACAGTTCTGAAATTCAAAGTGAAGGAAAAGAAATCAGTTACCAGGGTTGAAGTCTATTTTCACTTGATTCAATGGATGAAATTAGGTTCCACAGTGAATCTAACATAGCAGAAAATTAGACAACCTTGAAACAGTGGTAATATCATTACTCAAAACATCTTTGGATCACTTTTTGTTGCTTCACTGTCTAATACAGCAGAATTTTCAGTAAAGGAAAAGGGGCAAAATGACCAAAACAGTTACAGCTAATTTACAGGTAGTAGCTATTGAAAATTAGAAAATCAAATATTTCCCTAATCTAATTTTAAGTCTTCCTTCCTCATTTTATTTATTTTTATAAGTTTGTGTTATTTGATATAGTGGCATATTTTTTAAATTTCTTTTATTTATTTATTTTTGGCTGCGTTGGGTCTTCGTTGCTGCACGCGGGCTTTCTCTAGTTGCAGCGAGCGGGGGCTACTCTTCATTGCGGTGCATGGGCTTCTCATTGTGGTGGCTTCTCTTGTTGCAGAGCATGGACTCTAGGCGCGCGGGCTTCAGTAGTTGTGGCACATGGGCTCAGTAGTTGTGGCCCGTGGGCTCTAGAGCGCAGGCTCAGTAGTTGTGGCACACGGGCTTAGTTGCTCCGTGGCATGTGGGATCTTCCTGGACCAGGGCTCGAACCTGTGTCCCCTGCACCGGCAGGCGGATTCTTCACCACTGCACCACCAAGGAAGCCCGAGTGGCATATTTTTTTCATCGTCATACAATTTGTCATAATTTTTAGGTGGTTAGAAGTGTCTCCATGTTGCCAAGGAAGGTGGGATGGCTTCAGAACCTCCACATTGGTTTCTTGTCATTGTTTTGTTCCACATTTGGTTTCCTCCCATTTTCTGGTCCAGCTGTGAAGCAGCTCCAGAGGTGCCAGAGAGATGGGAAGCTTGGGTGTGGAAATGTGACACTTGATGGGTGATGTCTTTCTGCTGGCCTGAGAATGTCAATGTGTGTGCGTTTCTGCCAGGATTCCAAATGTTCAGATCTGTTGGTACTGGAGTGTTAAGATATAACAACAAAGCATTCAATCTGCTTTTCCCAGGTCCTCTCCTGGAAACTTGTACCCGACAGTTACCCCCCAGGTGACCAGCCACCTCCACCCTCTTACATTTATGGGGCGCAACACTTGCTGCGATTGTTCGGTAAGAAATCTTGGTCCCTGCTGTCTTCTTTCCCTTTTTATTTTCTTTTTTGATTTTAACACTTATAAGCTTATGTACATCTTGTGGTAATTTTGGCGTCTAAGAAAAATCATTAAATGTTGATCTCAAAAAAAAGCACCAAAAGAATCTTAAATTTCATAAAAATTGTTTGTAATGTTTGTACTACTACTGTTTTTGTGTTCAGTAAGAGTTTTGGTGTTGCTCGGCAACATAGATGTTAATTTCAATTCAAATAAAGACACATGGGGCGCCAGAGAATCCCTGAGTGTGTCCTACTCATCTCCAGATTCTGCCGATTGATTGTAAATGGTTTTGCTTTCATTTTTAATGCAGTGAAACTTCCAGAAATCCTTGGAAAGATGTCCTTTTCTGAGAAGAATCTGAAGGCTTTACTGAAGCACTTTGATCTCTTTCTGAGGTATTGTTATTAGTTTGTCAAAACTTACTCTGCCACCTTATATATGACTTTTCTGAACTTGTCTTCAGATGTGGAAGCTAGCTCTGTGGTATTTTAAATGGTAGCAATATTACCCAAGTATGGTTGGTTCTAACAGTAATTGTAACATGGGGGTTTTGGGCTATTTTTTTCATAGTTTATCTGGTTTCTAAGTGAAGGGTATGAGTAAAATTTTTGGTGTCACTAGAAGAATCCAGTTGGATAACCATGTGAATAGAAAATTAATTTTCTAAAGAAGTGATTGAGATTGATAATAATTTAATTCTGTGTATTTTATTCAGGAGTACCCTAAGTATGTGACTTTTCTTTGTTGCATGTATATAAACTAACTTAAATTTACAGGTCTGATTTTGGTGTCTGTTTTGGAGTTAAGATAAATGTGCTGATAGTTTGTGAGTTCGGAGAAAGGTATTGTTTCCTTCACCTGACAGAGCCAGTCATTTTATTAGCGTCAGATCATTTGCCCCGAGGCTCTCTCCCCTCCCCCGCATCTGGGGCTGTGGACCCCAGGCTCCATTATGCCTGTGGCCCAACTCTCCCACCCAGATGTCTATTGACCAGTTCCTCTTGGCGTTCAAGGCTGGTTGTCACTCTGCCTCACCCAGCTTGTCATATCTCCCTGACCTGTTTCTTGATTCTCTTTAAGGGGGTACCTTTTCCTTGTATTTTGTCCCCAACCTGCAAGAGCTAATCAAGTAGGATTTGCCAGAGTGGAGACCACTCCAGTCAGAGAAATGGGTCTTGGAGTTTTTAAAAGATATTTGTGTGGGTATTTTGAATAAAGTATCCAGTAAGTGGAATTAGACTTTATAACATTTTATTAGAAACAAGTTTCAAAAACGCTCTCTTCCCCTCCAGTCTCCCCCTCAAAAAAAGCCACAGCTCTGTTTGACTTCAACATTTCGTTAAGCTGAAATCAAATAATGCCAAAATGAGACACCTGCAAGTTAGCATAGGAGAGCCTGCTGATTTTGAGGTATGCCCAATACGAAATAGAAATTAGGGTTTTAGGAGGTAACTTAGAAAGATTTACAAATAAATATAGTACGGTTGACCCTTGAACAACATGGGTTTGAACTGCACAGGTCGACTTATATGCGGATTTTTTAAAAATAGTAAATACTATATAGTACTACATGATCCATGTGGTTGGTTGAGTCTAGGAATTTGGAAGAACAGTGGATATGGAGGGCCCAACTGTAAGTTATACAGGGATTTTCAACTGTGTAGAGGGTCGGCGCCCCTAACCCACACATTGTTCAGGGGTCAGCTGTAATGGGTTTTGAAAATGTATCCAAAGACGTCAACTAGAGAATCAATGGATCAGTAATTGCTGTAGGACGGGTACACTCAAAGAAGACAGAGTTATCTCTCAAATGAATTTTGATTTGGTTTTTACTAAAGAAGGTATTGCAGAGGTTTATGCTTATCTTTTTAGGAATTTGGACAGGTGGGAAGAGGCAGGGGAAGCAAACAAGGGGCCAACTACTTAGCTTACTAGCTAATGTGGCCCATGTGAGAATGTTTTAGCCTTTCGTGGTGAAATATTTGATACTTCAGAGTCAAGGTAGTATCTCTGTGTTGCAGATTCTTGAGTGGCTACATTTTAACATCCATCCATAGTCAGGCATAAGTCAGTCTTGCTTACCTATTTTGGTGGAACTGCAGCACCTTTTGGCATGGCAAATTGGGACACAAAATGCTCTTCACTAATTAAACCATTCAGTTTTGATTTAACTTAGGCCATATGTAAGTGCTGTGAATTTCTCAGGTGACATTTACTGAGTTTATAATTTATTTTTTATAGGTTTTTTTTTTTTTTTTTTTTTTGCGGTACGCAGGCCTCTCACTGTTGTGGCCTCTCCCATTGCGGAGCACAGGCTCCGGACGCGCTGGCTCAGCGGCCATGGCTCACGGGCCCAGCCGCTCCGCGGCATGT